AGTGTTTTCGGAAAACTGGTGTGGGAGCCATGAGTTAGACCACAGAGAACTGCTCTGTGTCAGGAGGGTGAGCACTTACCTGGAAAGAGGGAAAGGAAATAAGTGAACTTGGGTGCCTCTTAGGAGGTGTTTATCAAGTGTTTTTGAGATCCAGAAAGAATCTTTCTCTAAAGGGTACCTAGGTGGCTCAGTTGGTTAATGGTCTGACTCTTGATTTCAGCTCAGGTCATGATCTCACAGTGTGTGGGATAGAGCCCTGCATCAGCTGCTTGTCAGCACAGAGCCTGCTTGGGATCCCCTCTCTTCCTCTCTCTCAAAATAAATGAATAAACATTAAAAAAAAAAAAAAAAAGAATCTTTCTCTACAGTGGTAAAAGCAGCCAAGAGGAGAGGAGAAGGCTCTATCATTCCTATCCCTTCCCCCCGTCTCTCACCCCCATGGAGATCATCCAATAATAGGCAGACACTTGTACATCAGTGCAACTAGAAAGTCACAAAGGGGGCACTCCCAAAGACTGCTGCTAAGAGTTTTTATCTTGTTATGTCAGGAAAGTTAACAATACTGGAAATACATTTTTTTAATGTTTATTATTTATTTTTTTAGAGAGATAAGACAGAGAGAGAGACAGAGTGCAAGCGGTGGAGGGCCAGAAAGAGAGGGGGACACAAAATCCGAAGCAGACTCCAGGCTCCTGGCTGTCAGCACAGAGCCTCACAAGGGGCTCGAACTCATGAACCGTGAGATCATGACCTGAGCTGACGTCAGACACTTAACCGACTGAGCCACCCAGTCGCCCTGCAGTTTTTTTTTTAATTTTTAATGTTTTATTTATTTCTGAGAGAAAAAGAGAGAGAGAGAGAGAGAGAGAGAGAGAGAGAGCACATGGGCAGGGGAGGGTCAGAGAGAGAGGGAGACACAGACTCTGAAACAGGCTCCAGGCTCTGAGCTAGCTGTCAGCACAGAGCCCAACACGGGGCTCGAACCCACGAACTGTGAGATCATGACCTGAACCGAAGTCAGACGCTTAACCAACTGAGCCACCCAGGTGCCCCATAAATGTATTTTTTTTAAGTAGAGTCCACACCCCAGCCTCAACTCACAGCCCTGCGATCCAGAGTCCCAACTTCTACCTACTGACCCCAGCCAGACACCCTGCAAATGTATTTTGTAATTATGCATTCCATGGCTCCTCCTTGGGTCACACAAAAGAATTAGCCCATGGCAACCAGGAAAAGGCTCCCATGGAAGCTGCCAGTTATTTCTGGGTGGGTTTCTAAGTGTGAGGGTGCCTGTCTGGGGCAAGAGAGCAGGTGTGGGATGTGACACCATTTCATGTGTGACCACGACGTCACTGGAGTCCTCAGGCTCTGGGGCAGATCAGTCCTGAACATCCTGTAAGGGCTTTTGTGAACAGTTCATGACCTTGTCAAGCCCTTGCCAACCGGGTGGGGTTTTCACCGTGTCAGCCCTTGCTCTGAGCCCTTGCTCTGAGGTGTATGTGGAAGCATAGAGGTGTCCTTTTGAGGACAGACTGGCTGCGGTCAGTCCCACTTGCCCACGTCTCTCTCCTTGGTCTCCTCTCTCTGGACTAACTGCATGTGGCCACTTGAAGGAATGAAACTTGGTGACCAATTTGGTGAGTCCAGCCAGCAAAAGGAAGAGGACTGGGGCCCTGTATTTAAATGCGCGGGCATCGCATCTCAGTAAGGGAACTCGGACATAGCACAGTGGGGGCCAGGATGTGCGTCTCACCCCGCCACCTGTCTGTCGCCACAGCAGTTTGGAGAGAGGTGGGCTGGGTGGATATTGCAGAGTAAGTCTTTCCCTGAAGGACCCTAAATAACATAAGCTATCACCTCTTATTATTCTTGATCCTTGTCCCCACTTCGCTCTTCCTGTATTCACCGGACCTAACACATGGGGTGCTTGTTTCCTGCCGTATCCCTGGCACTTAGAGCAGTAGCTGGAACATACTAGGCCCCCTGTGCACATCTGATTAATGACTTGAGTGAATGAGTGAATGAATAACTGACTGAAGAAGTAGAGCAGAGCAGATGTCTGACCAGCTCATTCTGGCCCTGTGGAGGCATCCTTCCCTTCCCCGAACCTCTACCACCCAAAGGACAGAGACCCTGGATGCCCTCGTGCTTAACTTTGTTGTTTGACATGACATTCTCCTCTCCTGGCAAGGGGAGACGCTTTAGTTCTCTGAGGAAATCTGTAGTTCCGACAAAAGGCAGCATAAGGAATTCCCTTCCCTGTCTTTTCCATGTTTACTAGATCTTTCTTCCTACACAGAGGACAGCATCCCCTGGTTAAGTCCTGCTGTAAAACTCACCAGTGACCCACAAATCGACCTCACTTATGAAGACCAAACCATCAGTCCCCACTCAGCTTCCTTCCACACCAGTGGGATTGAGGCAAGAAGCTTCTATGCTGCCTATGCAGATGAAACCAATCCCCAATCTTCTCTTTCCTCCTTCTGGCTCCGCACGAGGAGAGCAAAGAATATACGTGAGGGTGAAGTAGTCCTGGGCGTCTGTGGCCATGCAGAGGGTGGCTCACATCTGCCTGCATCCCGAGTGAGAGCATCCTGGGGGGAGGGCGTTGAGGTTCAGCTATCTGGTGTCACATATCTGGTAGACAGAGTAAGAAGTCCCCACACATGCTACAGTCTTTTTTTTTTCTTTTTCAAGATTTTAACGTATATATATATATATTTTAATAAGCTGAGAGTTTGCTGGAGAGCACAGGGTGGTAGGAACAGCCCTGGGCAGTGAGTCCCACCTCTGTCCAGGTCAGCTCTTGTTTGCGAGGGGCGGGATTAGCAGCTCTTGGGAAATGTGGCCTTAGCTGGCCTGTCACTGGGGAGTCAAAGCCACAGGGACCGTTACCAGGCCCTGACTCTTGTCTTTGGCTCAGAAACGGTACCCCCCCACCCCAACTCTGCCGTGGCCTCGGGTGAACCTAGGAGTTGCAGAACCAGAAAGATTTCGCAGGAGCTTGAAGAAAAGGTGTGACAGAAGTGAGAGACGCTGGTGGGGGGAGGGGGCGTCCCTGGGGATAGGAAGTGTCACCCGTGGGGAGACACAATCGAGCTCTGCGGCAGTGGAAGCGTGTAAGGGTATATGTGGGCCAGGCAAGAGCAGGGGCTTTGCAGGGGGCAGGGTGGTGGGAAGGCGGGTGTGGGGGAGGGCAGAGGACCCCAGGGAATGGGGGCGGCTCTGACTCCTCAGTCCCCGAGAAGGACTGGTAGGTGGAGTTGAGGATGTTTGCACAAGGAAACTCTTTGAAGCTCTTCTCTGGTCCTCTCCACTCTGGACCTGGTTCCCTCCCTTCCATAAAGCCATTAGCTTCTGGTGCCGGCGCTATCTCTGCTCCATCTCTCTCGGTTCCAGTCGGTGCATTCACAGACTCCTGCCCTGAGGGAGGGGGAGGATTTATGGGGGGTAGAGGGGAGGGGGAGGGGGCATCCTTTAGAGGAGGAGAGGTCTGTTAGGAAAGTAGGGTGTGGGGAGCTGTTAGTCGGCCGAGCTAGAGGCCGGATCATTTCCGAGCGGGCTCTGCATGACAAAGGGGAAGGAGCAAGTTTCTTCTTTGATCTGCCCCCCGCCGGCCCCACACACCTGCCTGTTGGTGCTCCCGCCCCAGCTGAGATCTCCAGAAGGAAAACCAAAAGGGGGTGGGGACCAGGCTGTGGCCCAGCTTCCGCGGATCCTGCTCAGGCCACCTTCCTCTCTTGGTGGCCTCAGGACAAAAATATCTCCTAGGCTGATGACCCGAAGCACTTGCCGCCCCCTCCCGGAGAGCCTGGAGACCCAGGGCTGCGGGAGCAGTGCGGTGAGATGAGCGGGGTGAGGCGCGGAGCGCGCGCGCCAGTGTGTGTTTGCGCGTGTAGAGCTGGAGGTGTTAAGGGGTCCTGGGAAGAAGACTCATTGCAGATGTGGGGTCACGCCCTGGATGGAAACTAAGGGAGAAACGAGGTGGGGGGTGAGTGGGAGGGGGCGGGTTTTTATAGACTTGCTCCAGGATCCAGAAGCAAGGATTTTTCGTATGTTTCCAAGGGCTGCAGGAAGGGTGTTCGTTCGCGGCTCCAGGCACAGGCGTTAGTTACAAAAAAACAGAGGCAAAGATGTGGGAAGCTCTTGAGCTACAAGGGAAGGGGTCATGGCTTCTGGAAGATGCGTCCTGGGCATAGATGTTTGAGGCAAAGGCTGCAGCCCAAAGCTGGCGGTGCCACACTGTTGCTGTCTGGTTGCCCCCTCCAGGGCCACAGCGCGCAGGAGGGGAAGGAGGCCACCTAGGAAGACACTGCCTCATCCGCAGGAGCTTTAGGGCCACGCCGGCTGTGGCTTTTACATTTCTGAGAAGTTGCCTCGAGAAAGTGCAAACTCTTCGCCCTTCTGTCTGCTACATTCCTGGTAATGGGAATGTGGGAATGCTGGGATGTGGAAACTTTCTTGGAGTGAGAAGAGTACAGATTGGGAGGGAAGACGCCTATTTGGCTGTAGGTAAATCCAACTCACTGATCGTTGTTAGCCCACGAAGGTGAGCCCCTGGCTGCAGCGAGACATAGAGAGAGGAGGTGAAGGGTGCCCGGGTTTCTTTGGATGTTGTGGAAGGGCAGGTGTCCGCTGCGGCAGCCAAAGCATCCTCCTTCATGGTGCACGGAGCACCATTCTTAGAATGACTTGTTTTCACTTCTCTTTCCTAGTTTCTCAGCCCATTGTTTCCTTTGGATTTAGGTCCTGAGTAGGGTTCCCACAGGTTTGGGGTAAGAGACGTGGAGGCTCCTATGGTGAGCAGAGTAGCAGTAAGAGATGGAGGTTGAAAAGAGGCTGAATTTCTTTGGATGGGGACCGGGTGGGGAGGGGGGAGCAGAACCTGACATTAGACCCACCCCAGGGCTCGTCGTTTGTGCTTCCCTCCTCCTTTCCCCTGGTCCTGCCTCATCTGCTCCATTTTCACATTGATTCTCTCTCCATTCTGCTTTCTCCAGGGAGCCCCATTTCGGAAGCCAACTGCCCCCGGGGTCTTCCCAGGGCACTGGGGAGGGCCGAGGCCGAGGCCGACCATGCCCAGTCTGCTGCTGCTCTCCGCCGCGCTGCTGTCCAGCTGGGCTCAGCTTCCCGCCGAAGCCAGCTCCTGGTGGTGAGTGAGAGGGGCTGAAGTCCTTCTCTACAACCTACGCCTCCTTTGGTAATTAAATGTGGAGAAGGGTCACCGTGTATTGTGATCATTCCTTTATTCTTAGGAATCCCAAGGACTCTGCTTTTATCCCAGAAAAACTAGGACAGCTTTTTCTCTCACACGCCCCCAGAGGTAAAGGTTCACCGAGAATAAAGGATTAGTTGGTTTGGTTTTTCCTCTGATCCTGTCCGCATCCCTTTTTCCTGAGCCTTCCTCCATCCCCATGGGTTGTTAGAAATAGCTCTTGTGTTGCTCCTGGATCAATAAGGATATTGATTTTTTTTTTTTCTGATGGGGGCAAGGAGAATAGAATTCTTATTTTAGAAGTCTGATGACCAGATGAGAAATTAAGACATATGCAGGACCATGTGTGGCTTTCTTTTGTGTTTTTAAGACTAATGTCATTGGCAAGTCAACATGGAAATGGCAGCTCCGCCCCCCCCCCGCCATTTTGCGTGATCTGTGCCCCGCTCACATTTTTATTCTGATGGCAAATTTAACTGAACACTTTACTATCTCTGGTAGAGGACGAGCCAAAGGGAGAACCCGAGGACTGAGAGAGTGGGGTAGGGGTTTTGTGGGTGGGATATGGAAGCCAAAACATTTAGATTCCGTTGTGATGTATGAAAATCGGCTTCTGTTTTCAAGGCATAAGGCAAGTTCTAATTCAAGGAATTTCTGGCTTTCCATCACATACCCTGCACTTGGGCTAAAGTGAACGAATCACCCCTACCCCTCAACCAAGTCATGTGCTCTCCTGTTGAGGTTTGGCTGTTTCTCTTCTCTGCCCTCTCTGTCACCTTCTCTGCCTGCCCTCGCCCTCCTCCCCCTTTAAGACCCGGTTTCACACCATCGCCTTGTAAAAGCTTCTCTCCAGCTGTAAGAGCTCTTTCTCTATCTGCTCACTGTCGATACGGAAGTTCAAGTCGGCCTTTGACATCTCACGCGTCATCTGTGGCCGCGCCTCAGGTGAAGGCAGGCGCTCTGTTTCATCAATTTTCCTTTCTAAGCCCTTAGTACAGGGCCTCATCCACAGAAAGAAAGCACTGGATAAATGTGTTGAGTGAATGACTTAATGCTGCACACAGCATGTGCTCACTCCTGGGCCTTCTCTCCCCTTTCTGGATCTCCACTGTAGGTCATTAGCTATGAACCCGGTGCAGAGACCCGAGGTGTTTATCATCGGCGCCCAGCCCGTGTGCAGCCAGCTTCCCGGGCTCTCCCCCGGCCAGAGGAAGCTCTGCCAACTGTACCAAGAGCACATGGCCTACATAGGGGAGGGGGCCAAGATGGGCATCAAGGAGTGCCAGTACCAGTTCCGGCAGAGGAGGTGGAACTGCAGCATCGTGGACAACACGTCCGTCTTTGGGCGAGTCATGCAGATAGGTAAGAGGCACTGCTTGGCTAAAGGAACTGGGCTCACCGGCCTGGCCACAACGATGCTCTCTCAGGACTCGCACGAGAGCCCGCACAAGTGCCAGTTCTCTCAAGGCATGGAAGCCACGCGCAAGGAGACAGGAGAGCCCTTGGGAAGCAGAGTCTCAGATGATGTGTGGGCCGCACAGCACCCGGCTCGGCCAGTGCTGTGCTGCCAGCCTCGCCCTGTTTGGGGCAGCCGGCATGTGCCCCACTCCAGGAAGGTGACAGGGCAGCCACTTTGAGTGACAGTGGACTGGCGAGCCTGCCCGCCGCCACTGCCCTTTGCCTCAGCACAGGGCAGCTCCGTGGTCCTGCTCCCATGGGCAGCATTAGGTAGAAAACCAAAAAAGTCTGTCTGGCTTTTGCCTTTTCTACTTGGACCCTGAGAGAGATGGAAACTTTGAGCCAATTGCTGATAGCTATCATTAACCTGACGCAGATCCAGTCCTGGCTTTTTCATTCCAAAGGAGATATGTGTGAAAGTGGGGGAAGGGGACAGACCCAGAAGAAAGAAGAGAGGCCACCTCTTCCCGGATTCCTGTCCCTTCCCCTCTCCCACTCGGACTCTCTCTCTTGGCTGCCCTATTGCTTGGATGGAGGTGTGATCTGGGGTCTAATCGTTTTAGGCCCTTTTGAAATGCAATCCCCCCCTCCCTGGCAAGAAATTGAGAAATCCGGCCCTATTCTACTGGGTCTGCTCCCCAGGGCCATAAAAGGAAGGTGTCGGAGCACTGTATTCTCCTGTCTGCCCTTCTCCCAAAGAAGTTTCTCCTCCAAGGAATTACCTGAAGCTGAGTTTTTCCCAAAGAATGCTTTTAGCAGCAAGCAGGGTGTTTGGAAGGTCCCTCCCTCCTGACCTCTTTCCCCGATGCCCTTTGCCCCATATTGACAAGTGAGGACCAGGGGAAGGTATGCTCTGAACCTTTCTGTTCTCTTCCTTCCTTCAGAATTCACTCAGGGTCCATACAAGGAATGCTCATGTGTTTCTGCAACGGTCTCATCTGGCAACTTTCCTAAAAAAGAATGGACTTGGGTTAAGTGGGAATTGTTCTTAATTTATTGATTCTTCTCAAACACACTTAGTATTTGATAAAATCTTAGCAGCACTGCCTGCTCTGGGTTCTGGGAGAGGAAAATAGGACACCCAGGTGTAGAGAGAGGCACCCACTAATCACTCTAAGGACACTCCTGTTTCTTTGGAACCTAATGTGTGCCTGACATGGGCTAGATCCTTTTTGTGTGTCATTTTGTGTGAGTGAAGGCCAAAAAGTGAGCTTTGCTTGAGAGAAAGGAGTCAGCAGATCACTGGGTGTGGATTCACTTGGGGGAATGACCTGCGAAAGCAGACCCTACCTTCCTCTCGGTACCCTGTTCTGTCACAAATGGAACCCTCCGTTGCCACCTTTCCACAGTTTCTTTTTGTAGCTTCCCTGCAGACTTATGCTCCCCAGGAAGCTAGCTTCCGTTCATCCCCTGGGGCCCAGACTCACCAGGAGTCTTCTCCCTGCTATCTTGCGGATGACTTCCAAGAAAGTCCTGCCTTCGTTGAAGCTGCTGCAAGAGTCCACCAGCAGAGGGCAGCAGAGTAGCTTGGAGGGAGCCACTGGCACTGCACCCAGCCTACGTCAGGGGAACATGAGGCACCTTCCTGGCAGTGGGTGTGGAACAGAGACAGAGAGCGTGGTACTGGAATGTTATCTCCTTCTAGAGGATAGATGCCAGGTCTCTTTAGCAGCTCCACGGCTGCTGGTTTCTTAGCCTTTATCCTTGAGATGGTTTGAGTTTCCACGCGGAGTTGTTTCACATATAGGGAAGCTCCCCCCTTTGCTTCTCCATTCTGAAGCCCTGCATTATGTCTTGTTTGCTGAGAATAGCACTATAGTCGGTACTAAGCAGGCTTGGCAGGGGACTCACATGCTCCCCGTGAATGCAGAGATACCCACACTCAGTGCCTAGTGATGCCCCCAACCAAAAGAGGCAGAGTAATTGCAAGGACAGCTAATCCACCTGCGGACACACCGGGATCTGAAACCATCATGGCAGAGCACGTAGTGGCTGGGCTACAGTTTTACACTCAGTTGCATGTATGGTGTTTTGAAAGGCAGTTCTTGGGGGAGCGATTCAGCTCTGAAAAGCATGTTTTCAAAAAAATGGAGGAAGGAATCAGACATGTGTAGCCTGGAAGAAACACAAAAAGCGTATCAGTTGTTTTCGAATGCTGAAGGGCTGTCAAATGGAAAAGGATTAGACAGCGTAGCTCCAGCGGGTGAAGTTCCAGGGAAGCATTTTTCAACTTACTGTAAGAAAGAACATTCTGGTGAGTAGAGTCATCAATAGATGATGGGATGGGTTGCCTTGAAAACCCAGCCTGCTTCCCTGAAGAATGTGTGAAAGGAAGACTCACAGTGGGTGGGATGTCATCGAGCTGCAGATCAGAGGCTCCTTCCTGTCCCAGAAGGCCCGGTCAGGGGCTTGAGGCTCCATTTTAGCAAGATTTCTCAGGGATGGCTCCCTCAAAGAAGGGCCTAGGCCCTCCTCCCTAGCAGCCCTTTGGTCACCCTAGCATGCTGGCTGCTCATTCTCCTACTCTGACTACCCTAGACTAGATAAAGTTCCTGGTCTCTGGCAGCGGTTTCCGCACTGACTCACATGTCGAATTTGATGGCTGAATGATGAGTGTGACTTCCTGCATCACCTGGGTTTTCTTGCATGGCTCCTGGTCCACATCTGACTAGAAGCTGAGCCCTGGTTACTTGAGAAAAACTGACTTGCCCGGTCCGGTCTGGTTGCAAGCTTCACCGTGTCCTGCCCAGACAGTCGAGAAGTAGGGCAAAGTGAGAGATCACTCTAGACCTATCGATGAATGCAGACTGCTTCCCTCTCCACCTACCAACACAGGATTATGGCATGTCTGCTTCTGACCACAAGACTCAGGAGAGGAGGAAATGGAGAACAGAAGATTCTGCCTGGGTAGTCCCTGAGATCAAGACTGAATCTCAGATTCTTGCTAAGAACCTCTCCCTTCTCTTCCATACCCGAGGTTTTTAAATTTTTTTTTTAATGTTTATTTATCTTTGAGAGAGAGAGAGAGAGAGAGAGAGAGAGAGAGCACAAGCAGGGGAGGAGCAGAGAGAGAGGGAGACACAGAATCCGAAGCAGGCTCCAGGCTCTGAGCTGTCAGCACAGAGCCTGATGCGGGGCTAGAACTCAGGAACCACGAGATCATGACCTGAACTGAAGTCAGATGCTTAACCAACTGAGCCCCCCAGGTACTCCTTCCATACCTGAGTTTTTATGAGTAGTTTTTATTATGACAGCCTCACCAAAACAGAATTCACATGCTGTGCAATCCACCATTTTAAAGAGTACAGTTCAGTGTATATTCAGAGGGTTGTGCAACCATCGCCCTGTCTAGTTCCACAACATTTTTGTAACCCTATGAAAAAACCTGCATATCCATTAGGAGTCCGTCTCATTCCCCCCTCCTTCTTCTGAAACCCTAGGCCATCACTAATCTTCTGCCTTTATGAACTTTCTTATTATGGACATTTCATATAAACGGGTACCAAATGCTAGGGGCACCTGGCTGGCTCAGTTGGTGGAGCCTCTTGATCTTAGGGTTGTAGATTCCAGCCCTATGTTGGGTGCAGAGGTTACTGAAAAATAAAGTCTTTTTAAAAATGTTAAGTGATTCACTTCGTATAATGATTCAAGGTTCATCCACATTGTAGCTTGTACCAGCACTGGATGACTTTGTATGGCTGAATAATATTCCACTGCGTGGGTGATGCCATCTAGTTTACCCACTCATCCGTTGATGGACAATATGAGCTCTTTCATATTTTGGCTATGAGGAATAATGCCTCAGTGAGCATGCATGTATAAGTTTTTGTGTGAGTATGTTTTTATTTATCCTGGATATATCTTAAGAGTGGAATTGCTAGGGGGCGCCTGGGTGGCTCAGTCAGTTAAGCATCTGTCTTTGGCTCAGATCATGGTCTCATGGTTCATGAGTTTGAGCCCCATGTCAGGCTCTGTGCTGACAGCTCAGAGCCTGGAGCCTGCTTCGGATTCTGTGTCTCCCTCTTTCTCTGCCCCTGTCCCACTCAGGCTCTGTCTCTCAAAAATAAATAAATGTTAAAAATTTTTTAAAAAAGAGTGAAATTGCTAGGTCATATGGTAATTCTGTGGTTAACCTTTTGAGGAGCTGCCAAACTGTTGTCCAAAGCGTAAGGTTCCCACTAAGATGAAGCGAGCATTCCAGCTTCCTCATATCCTCACCAACGTGTTACTAGTACCTTTTTTTTAAGCTTTTATTTTTTAAGTCATCTCTACCCCCATTGTGGGGCTTGAACTTACAAACCTGAGATCAGGAGCCACATGCTGTACTCACTGAGCCAGCCAGGCACCTTACTATTGCTTTTTTGATTATAGTCATCCTTGTGAGTGTACTGAATCTCATGGTGATTTTGATTTGCATTTCCCTTTTGGCTGAATATTATTTTTTTATAAACATTTTTATTGAAGTGGAACATAACAGAAGTTTATTGTGGCTTTTTAAAAAAGTTTTATTTATTTATTTTGGAGGCGGGGTAGCGTGCATGCAAGTGAGGGAAGGGCAGAGAGAGGAGAGAGCAAATCCCAAGTAGGCCCCATGCTCAGTGCAGAGCCCATGCTGAGCCTGATGTAGGGATTGATCCCATGACCCTAGGATCATGACCTGAGCGGAAATCAAGTTGGATGCTCAACCGACTGAGCCACTCAGGCTCTCCTACCTCATGTGAGTTTTTAAGTGGTTCACTACAACAATCTAGAGGAATATAGTTCAAATTTTCTACTGGGAGTGATCTGGATATTTGGAGGGACCGTGTTGAGGGTCCTATAGATGTGGTTTCCTGGTGCTCATGACTTGGGAGGCAGTGTGGACCCCATGGAAGACAGAGAGAAACAGCTTGGATGATCCCGGACATTGTAATTCAGGTTCACTTCTAGCTACCATCTAGCTAGATAATGGCAGCAATAAAAAAGACAGATGCATGGCCCGTCGAGTGGTGAGAACTTGGTGTCTGTGAGAGAGAGGTTTTTGCTAAGATAGAGTCTTACTATTGGTCCCACGATTTCTACTCTGTCTCGTCCTCTTCGTCCCACACGTTCTACAAACTCCTTAATGCCCACTCTCCCCCCCACTTAAGTCTGCCTCCTGGGAATCTGCTGGCCATGCACCCTTCCCTGGAATGGATGTTAGTGTGGGCCAAAGCTGGAGGGATTCATTCTACTGTGTGTGTTCACAGGGCAGGGGAGGCAAATCTATGCTCATTATCAAGAGCCGTTTCTGACCATCAGAGCCATGGGAAGTGAAAGTGCTTCTCCTGACGTTGTTTCCCCTGGGAGCGACATGGCCCAGGCGATGGTGTTGGGTCCAGGAGAGACGGAAGGAAGGGAGGGGCCGCCCAGAGGGCTGGCATCCTTCACCACCTCTCTTGCCTTCTCTTGCAGGGAGCCGGGAGACGGCCTTCACCTACGCGGTGAGCGCGGCAGGCGTGGTGAACGCCATCAGCCGGGCTTGCCGCGAGGGTGAGCTCTCCACATGCGGCTGCAGCCGGACAGCGCGGCCCAAGGACCTTCCCCGGGACTGGCTGTGGGGTGGCTGCGGGGACAATGTGGAGTATGGCTACCGCTTTGCTAAGGAGTTCGTGGATGCCCGCGAGCGGGAGAAGAACTTCGCCAAGGGATCGGAGGAGCAGGGCCGAGTGCTCATGAACCTGCAGAACAACGAGGCAGGTCGGAGGGTAAGCTGGCACTCTACCTCCTCTGCACACACCGTGGGGTCCCTGGCTGTTCCTGGGCTGAGCCCCAGCAGTGGTCTGGCTGTGAAGAAGGGGTTAGGTGTGACCATGATGACTTACCTACCGTGGCTGGCCTGGATGCCTACATTGGTGACCATTTCACAAGGCTCTGTTTCCCAGTGGACACATGCCATTGTAGTTTTTATAAACCTTGTTTATTTTTCACAGAACATCTGTCCCTGTGGGACTTAGGAGGCGCCTTGTCATCAGGATTCCAGGCACACGAAGCAGAGTTCTTGTCTTGAATGCCCTTCCTTTGTAACATGAGCAGACAGGATGGTGGGAAGTTGAGGCCATTAGACTTAGCCTAGGGTTTATGATTTGCTGGAGGCTCAGGTAAAAGCAGAGCTGACTTTTAAGAGCTGCTGCCATCTGTATCCAGAAGCCCATTCCAAAAACACATGCGATTGCTAACGTCACACATAGCATCTGTGCAAAGGGTGCCGTGCATGAGTGGAATCAAGACAGATAACCACCTTCTCAAGGCGGTCTCGCCAGTCTGATGTGAGACGTGACTGTTGGGTGAGTCTCCGTTTTGGTGGAAACTGAAATGTGGGTTTTGAGGTGAGCGTGCTTCATTGCACCTGCAGAGCATACCTGGGCGATGGCTCTAGCTTTCCTTTGTGGTGTGCGGGGGACCATGGGCCTCCTCTGCCTATCCCTCGCTCATAAAGACCTCACCTCTAAGCACAGGCTCTGCCTTCCCTTCCCTTTGCTGCTCCTGACATGGTCTGTCTCTGCTGCAGGAAACCAGAGGGCTCGCTCAGGCAGAAGCTCTCTGTCTGCTGGTTCGGTACATCCTGTGTGCAGGGGAGTGTGGATGTGCATCCAGGTCTCCTCCTAGAGAGGCTGGAGGTCTGAACACTGGGTGGTGGGAGTCCCTCCTGGCCCAGGGTCATGGGACTGCAGACTTCTCAGGAAACCACACAGGCTTCTTTCTGAGAGTGCTGTCCACACTCAGGTCTGCATCAAGCCAGCCGCGAAGATACTGTAGTGAGACCAGAGGTGAACTCATTAAACAATGGGGCCAGCAGCATCTTGAAAAGAAATAAATTGAGAAATTTAATGTTGGTTCATTGGTGATTCAGCAATAGGATATGGATATATTTCTAAAAAAGCTTATCAATTTAAAAAAATCAACTCATGTTTCATAGGAATACATATCAAATAAATGGAATTGAAATGTCTTTTATATGAATTGGGATCTGTGATGTTGGCTTGGTGGAACGTGGTACGCTTGTGTAAACTGAGTATCATCAATAGTGTGATGTCCAGTTGAAATTAGAATTGGTTATTTGGCCAGTGTCTTTCTTGCAAAGCCCATGTCCAGAGGCTGTATCTGGGTGTGTGGGGTGGTCTTAATCTGTGGTGATGTTAGGAATTCAGGTTGTTGCTACGGTACAGACCAGGGCAGAGAGAGCAGCATTGTCTTAGATGACCTTCCATTCTGAGGGTGTCTCTGGGGCCACCTCCCTTCCCCATCCCCCAGGACTTTGTCTCTGTTTGGCAGTCTGCTTGCCAGTCTTTGGGTATCTACCATGAGAGATTGGTAAAAAAGGTTAAGGTCTTCATTTATCTCCTGAATGCCCAAATTCTATCCATTTTTCAAAATCCCAGGGGTGCCTGGGTGGCTCAGTCTGACTTCAGCTCAGGTCATGATCTCACGGTTTGTGGGTTCAAGCCCCGCATCGGGTTCTGTGCTGACAGCTAGCTCAGAGCCTGGAGCCTGCTTCAGATTCTGTGTCTCCCTCTCTCTCTGACTCTCCCCTGCTCACGCTGTCTCTCTCTCTCTCAGAAAACAAATTTTTTTAAAAAATTAAAAAAAAAAAGATCCCAGGTCAAACAGCACTTACTCCTTAAAATCTTCCCCACCCCCTATAATTAGTAGTTTCTCTGCCACTGAAACGCAGTAGAGCATTTGCTGCCTTTCTTGAGGTATTCCTTACTCTGCCTCATCTCAAAGGTTGTGGCTTCCTGAGGACAGGATTCCACCTACAGCTCTTTGAAAGAATGCTCGCTCACGGTGTCACTGTGCTTTACACGAGTGGGTGCATGCAAATGTGCAGAGCACAACTTCCATATTGCCTCTAGGAAGAGGTCAAATTCACGGAGGGCTGTTTCCTGTCTCTGCTCTGAGGCGAGGTGACTAGGCATTCATCCTAATCTGGGCTCCATTTTAGTCACAGTCTTGACCCCACTTCTGCTGGCTCCTCATTTTATTGCCCTTAATTGTTTGTTTGTTTGTTCTGGCCCTTATCTTGGCAACCCTTCCTTCCATCTGCCTTGTTTCTCACTTACACACCTTCCCCATCTTCCTCTGTCTGTCTCCCGGCCTTTGGGCCCCCTTCCTCCAGTCTCCACACCTCTTCCACAGCCTTTATCTCTCCCTTTGCTTCTGTCTGCTCCAGGTTGGGAATTCCTGTCCCTCTCTATGTTTTCTCCCCTCTCTGAGGAACAGGCCTCCGCCATCAATCACCATCTGAGGCCAAAGGTATTCACCTCCCACCTCCTCACACCCACACAAAAACTTCCTTAGGGAAGACTAAAATGGTGGCAGGGATCGAAAACTCCCCGCACTAGTATTCTACGATCAATTAAAAGATTTTACTTTTAAGTAATGTCTACACCTAACATAGGCTCAAACTCACCACAACCCCAAGATCAAGAGTTGCACACTCCACCAACTGAGCCAGCCAGGATTCCCCAACCAATTTTTTTTCTTAACAGAATATCTAGGATCCGACATGTTGGCCACAGAGTAAATCTTGGGCATACTTCGCAAGAAATTTCTCTTGGCCTTTCAGAGTCTCTAGTAACCCCGTTTTAGACATTGATGGCAAGAGCAGTGGGTTGATGCTGCCTTGTCACTCAAGGGCTTAAGCATTTTCCAGATAAAAGCTGCCTAATCCTTGTGACATTCCTATCAGTTACCGAGCTCAGTCACACCATTAGATCGTGCAGAAGAGGGACTTAGGCCTTTGCCAGGGGGCAAGATGCAGAGCCGAGAAAATGTTTTAAAACATTTGTTGTCTTTTTCAGTTAGCAGGAAAGGCCAAACATTGGGATTTCCCCCCCTTTGCCTGTAAGAGGAGCTTATATATATTATCAATAGTAAACTATTGAAAAATACAAACATTACAGTGTCTTTCTTCATAGACAAAGGGTGGAATGAATGTCTGCATAGCAAAGATCAGTGACACCCTTCCTCTTGGATTTGTTTTACAAAAGCTTCTGCTCTTACTCTGCAGAGTTTTCTCTGGCTCTCCTTTCCCCAAATGTCCCTAAGTGTTTGCTCCCTGTAGAGATGCTTATCCCGTTCCTTCCGTTGGTCATTTAGTGACAGGGTACACAGTTTTAGGCCCTTAATGTTGCCTCCATCCAGCAGCACCAGATGCCTGACCCCCCCTCTCCAAACCAAGGACCATTTCCAGAGGAATGTCAGGCCCCAGCTCAGACTGGGGGATTTGTTCCAGAAGAGGGTAATTGCCGACCCTGTCTTTGAAGTGCCTGTTGGAATGGGGTGTTGGTTCCTTTATGCCCTGGGCCTAGAGCTGCCAGCCAAGTGCTGGTCCTTTAACCTTGGAGGGGAGGCTCCTTCCTGCCCCACCCTAAGCCGTTTTTAAGCCCCAAGATTGGAGTGCAAAAGTGCTAGTCATCCTGACTCCCTTCTGGGTGGCCCTCACCAGATTTTTGAGCCTCTCTAGAGCTTCAGTTCCTCCACCACAAAATAGTGGGAATAATTCTACAGCAGAAAAAAAAAAAAAATCAGGAAGAGTTTTGACAATGGTAAGATGAGCTGATGATGGTTAAGCTATTTATTTCTTGCACCTGCAGTGGTCTCCACACAGTGCTGAATAAAGACACAATCTGGGGACTCTTGAAAAGAAATCCAAGAGAAACCCTTGAAAAATGAGCCCAGACTCGGTCCGTGACAATAGCTGTGGCATAAGAAACTGTTTTGCAGCGGGCTTGCATTTTTATCTTGCCATCTGTACACCCGGGCGTGTCTCCAGGGCTATTGGACACAACGCATCAGTGTGCTTTCATTGAAAAGCACTTTGTTAGCAGCTTTTTGGTCTACTCGCGCTTTGAACATTTTGATTTGGGATAGCCCAAGTTCAAATCCACTCCACATTGTTGTGGTTCAGTGGCTTCAGGGTGGATTTGTTTTCAAATAAATCACCCCTATTGGTGGGCCCACCAACCGGCTCTCGCCTCTCTGCCTCCACCTTCAGCGCCTCCAGGGAGTGTCTGCGGGCGCTGCGGTGCAAGGAAGCAGGCTTGTTCACAAATACTGGGTAGTGTGTAGCGAGGCTCCTGGGACTGAGGAGTTGAGGACCAAATGTTAACACAGAAAAAGGAACTGTTTAGTTCTTAGGGGATTTGGCAGAGTCAGAGAGAGCTTTTGGCTAACCAGGGCCACGCCAGCAGTTTCTGTGACAGGCTGGTAACACAACTGGATTTTTTTTTCTCCGATTGTACTCCATGTGATGCAAAAGCTGGACACTGTTTGCTGGTTTGTATTTGTTTGTTTGAGACTTTGGTCAAGATAGAAATATCCTTTGTTCCCTGATGGTAAAGATGACACATCGATCATAACAAGTTTCAAGGAATAAGAAATGGACGGAGAGAGCACCTGGGTGGCTAGGTTGGGTTAAGCATCTGACTCTGGCTCAGGTCATGATCTCACGGTTTGTCGCCTGCTTCGGGTGAGCCCCGCTTCTCTCTCTGCCCCACCCCTCTCTCCCCCTCGCTCACTTTTGACCTCTTTCTATCTGTCTCAAAAACACCCACACAGACAAAAAAGAAATGGACAAAGTAGAAAGGGCAGATGCACCAAATGCCATCCGTATAGCTGATCAGACACAGACAGTGCTCCTCCAGTGCTTTTCTGTGTGGTGCTCCTCGTATCTGCTTTTGATCTGGGTGACTGAGGATTCCGGAAAGACCTTTCTATACGTTTGAAAAACTACTACCCACCTCCCCAACCATTAGCCATCTTTGATATTTGCCCATGGCGCCCCCAGCCACCCTCTTGACATCTCCCAGCGGGATGCTCCTTCTCATTGCTTCTTTCTCCTCCCCTCAGGCTGTGTATAAGATGGCAGACGTGGCCTGCAAATGCCACGGCGTCTCGGGGTCCTGCAGCCTCAAGACGTGCTGGCTGCAGCTGGCCGAGTTCCGCAAGGTCGGGGACCAGCTGAAGGAGAAGTACGACAGCGCGGCCGCCATGCGCATCACCCGCAAAGGCAAGCTGGAGCTGGTCAACAGCCGCTTCAACCAGCCCACCCCGGAGGACCTGGTCTACGTGGACCCCAGCCCTGACTACTGCCTGCGTAACGAGACCACGGGTTCCCTGGGCACTCAGGGCCGCCTCTGCAACAAGACCTCGGAGGGCATGGACGGCTGCGAGCTCATGTGCTGTGGCCGCGGCTACGACCAGTTCAAGAGTGTCCAGGTGGAGCGCTGTCACTGCAAGTTCCACTGGTGCTGCTTCGTCAAGTGCAGGAAATGCACCGAGATCGTCGACCAGTACGTGTGCAAATAGCCAGCGAGGGCCCGCTCCTCTGGCCTCGCCTCTGCTCTGCCTCACAAAGTTTATATTATAGAAATCTATATAAATCTATTTTATATTTGTATAAATAAATGGATGGATGATAAATAATTAAAAGAAGAAAATGGAAAGGAAAAGCTTATTTAAGAGACACTGGAGACCTTTGAGGATTGAACTGGGCTGGTTCTCTATTCTGGGTGGGTGGAGAAAGAGGCTTCTCCCCCTCCCTCTGGTGGGGACTCGCAGTGGGTAGGGGATATTCACTGTCAGGCCACCACAGCCTTGAGGAGACTCATGGTGGTTATATGGAGAAGATGCTTTTGTCTGGAAGACTGGAGCCTTCACTGGGTGGACGGCCGCTCTGTGACCCCCGTCATTAGTCAGGAGTCCCTGTCCAAGGTGGCAGAACTCAGCTCAAACCATCACATCCTCACAGTCTTGTCCAAAAAACCGATCGTTTCTGTAAGAGGCCCGGTGCTTGCTTACCCTTTCATTTATGTGCACCCTTGCAAAATCCACAGTTACAGGAACAAGGACAGGTCCCATGTCATCTCTGACCGGTGACCACAAAGTAGACCCACACCTCCTCAGACTCCCGGGCCTGTCTTTCCAGTGAGAATTATTCTCCCTCCACAGTTCATTAGCTCCTCCACCCATTCCCTGTGCCAAGGGGAAAGGGGGTCCCTTGGCCTGACTTGTTAGGAGAGATGTGAACGGAGTATTTGTGTCTGAGCTGCAGAGAGCCAGGAGTGTAACTGGACCAAGTGAACATTGCACTGTGCTCCCACAGGGAGGGGCAGCTGGGGTGCTGCTGTCACTTCCTCCATCACGGAGGCCCCCACCAATGACAAGACGTGCAGCCAGGTCAGGCTCAGCTGGCCTGGCACCGTCTTTTCATCTCTGCCCCAGATGTACAGTTTCTCTCTGATATTAAATACCCTTCACTGGAGTTTCTCTCCCTTTCCTTATTTGGACATGCGCTTATGTTTGATGAGTCTCCTTTTATGTTTGATCTGATCCTTAGAACCCTGCTCCAGAGTGCATGTATGGAAGAGGGTAAGGACATGGAAACGTTTTAGAGCTCTAGCCTACTGGTTGGAGACAGAATAGTATGAAAATTAAGGAAGGTTATGCATTTAAGCACTCTCCCCAAGGGCTACCCCAAAGTTAAGTACTCATAAATGATAGCTATTAATAATACTATTATGAAAAAATATCACTATTATGAACAAAAGAATTCAGAGATTTACGTTTAAACCTCATGTATACCTTCCTTCTTCTTCCATTTTACAGCCCACCCAGTTCTCCCTGGTTTGTTCACTGGGTTCTTGGTAAAGCACAGGTGATGGGGACATTCTCTGCAGCCTTCTCTATGTCGCGATCTCCTGTCTTGGACTCCAGGATGTGGAGCCAGGAGAGAGAGGGAGACAGAGTTCAGGGATGATCCGCAAAGGGAGATGTTATAGAACGAGAAGAGGTAGTTTATGGGGAGACATGTTAATCCAGGTGCACCGGAGTGGCCAGCCTACAGGTGACCCAGTAAGTAACCACATAATGACACCAGTTTTATTCTAGAAAAGTTTGCATCTGGAGAAATAATGGAATTAAGGAGTTAACCTGAGTTATAATGAACAATTATATTGCAAAACAGTGTAAAAGAAAGTCTGTCTGAGAGTATTCATGGCCATGTATACTACTTGTATCTTTAGTGCCTAAAGAAGAACTTTCTGACTCGACATCAGAGAATACCAGACCTAGGGTTATTTCACTCGTAACTACTCCTCATACTGCTACTCAGACTCCTTTGGTTGACATTTTCAAGATGAGAAAGTAATTGAACTTCACTGGCCTGTACAGGATCAAAACCATATCCTTGTCTTCATTAGTCGGCATTTAGCCAAACTAACGTGGTCACACAGACCAGTCATCATAAACAGGGTTTTGAAACACTGGCTGGCATTATTTCCTACATCATTGTTGTAACTTCTGGAGAGTTCCCTCATGTCAGGTGCTCAAAGTGTTTTAGAGCTGAAATCCAGTCCATCTTTAGAAACTTCAGGAAATTAGTTGAGAGGGACTAGTCCACAAAAGGTGACTTTCACATTCATGAAAAGGAGATGGATCATCCCTGTTATCCATCGTCCTGCAGGACGTTGAGGTCGTCCTGCAGAGTCATGGCGAGAGGAGTGAGTAAACATTAAATGTTTTCTTTAGAAAGCAAGTCATATGTTCCGATAGTAATGTGATTGTTGCAGCCGATGACCACCAAGGTTAGGAAAGATTTAACCTTCAAAATAGATTGGAATGAAGTTATAGTTACATGCTCGTTAAATCCTGGTGAATTGGCAGTTGTCTGTGTTGTGACCAGTAATGCTATAGGAATGTGGCTCAAAAATACCAACCTAAGAAAATGAGATTCTGCTCAGAACCACACAATGTTAGAGCAGGAACAGAAGGTGGTCAGATTTCCAGCTCCTGGGTTTCCAGATCAGGACTTCCAAATCCCAAGTAGGCCCTGAAGTCTAGTGTGCTGTAAAAACGCAGAGTTCTGGGCCTCCAGCATCAGAGATTTGTATTCAATTGGTCTAGAGTGCAGCCAGGACAATTGTCTGAGCCTTTAACAAGATCCCGAAGGGATCATCTGCTGGTGGTCCAGACACTACACTGGACCTATGGTCAGTAAAAGCGAGCCCAACATCGACAGGGAGACAGATGTCTGGGTCCACTCAGCAACCTGAGCAGGATTATTTCCTAGTACCTGAAATTGATTATTGTTAACCTAGAATCTAACTGAAAGAGCACTGCATTGGATGTAATGCCTGGACCAAGCAGTCTTAACCATCTCAGGGATCATTTTTATTGAGAGGGGAAGGAGCACTCTACCACAGAGCAGAACCGATTTGCCCTGGGATGTTCTACCTCCCTCTTCTGTGTAGGACTGGTCGGGGGAAGAAGCCTACAGATCTATTACAAATATAGTACAGTCATAAGTTGCTTACCTGTTTGTTTGCATGTATTCATCTTGTCTTCAAGATAAAATTAGAAGAAAGGTATGTCTGACTGCCTCCACTTAAAAGTAGATAGAATAGGAAGGCAGTCACAACCAGGGTTAAGATGAGGGTGGGCCTCCATTCAGAAAAGCATTCTGATGAACGTTTCTCAAGAACTTGGATTCGAAACCCTAATTTGGAGAACTCAGTTAGTGGTCATCCGCTCTCTATCCTTTGAGGTCAGAAACAAAACTTGCTACTTGTATCAAAACCCCAAGTTGGTTATTGCTTCTGAAATTCTGCCCTGCTCACTGTCTTACTTAAGCTTTGTCATCCGCTGGAGTTCTAGAAGCTAGCAAGACATCTGTGGTTGAGATTGCTCCACAAGATACAGATCTCACAGCTGCAGGAGCTTATCAAAAAAGAAATCATTTTTTGGGCAGAGAGCCACACGATCCAGAGAAGGTGGAAGAAAATAGTCATTTCCATCTTAAAACAGGCTCTGACGCATAGCCAGACCCCACTGACATTGGTCACACGTATTTTGGAAGAACTTAGTGTGTGTATGTGTGTCTGTGGGTGGGTGTGTGGGCATGTGCATGCGTGCTCATGCACACCCATGCATGCAGGAATGAATGTTTTTCATTAATTTGGGAGGAGAGATGGGGAGGCACTTGAGGCAAGGAAGCTGTAAAAAAAAAAAAAAAAAGTAAAAATAACCGTCACTTCTTCTGGCTGAGATGCTTCAGGATGTGGATTGTCCTTTATTGGAAATCCTTGCACTCTGGTTGGTTAGTGATGACAAACTTCCTATCTCTAGAAGGGATTGGGAAGCCAAGAAGGCCCACCGGAGACATGCTTGCTAAATATTCTCCTTAGTCCTTTATAATGAAGGAATCCCTGCACCGCATTTATACCAAAACAATCAGTAAAAGGGGCTTTCATATCTGGTTTTACATGAGAACTAAGGGTAATTCTCCCATAAGTAGGGAGATATGAGGGTCAGAGAGGCAACAGGGAAGACTGAGCTCCCCCACAGTTAATTTTCCAGATTGTTTGAGAGTTTGGGCATTCATCCTGTAGGTTATCCACATTCTTTGCTTTCTCCCTCCTGCTGCCTGCCTTTTGGTCTTCAATCTGTTCATTTGCAACTCTACAGCAACAGAAGATAGAACCAAATCAGTTCACTTGGGCCTCCTAAGTAGTTTTGATAAATAACCGAGTGGGAAAAGGAGTGGCTACAATTACATTTTAATATTATCTGTGAATTTAATGTGTCACTTATGTGTATTATCTGCTGCTCCCCATGATAACTGAAAATAGCCTGAAGTTGTCCACAGTCAAAGCAGGTAGGAAATCACAGTATCACTATCAAGAGAGTTTGCATAGGTGTGGGGCCTATCAGAGAAGCATCGCAAAGGGCCTAAGATATAAAAGAAAAGACACTATAGAAAGGGTGAAACTTTTTAATCCAATTTTATTGTAAAGCCGAAAGGAATGAATATCGTTTTAAGTGTTCTGGCTCTCCAGTACATTTTTATTGTTTTTTTTTAATTTTTTTTTTTTTTTAATTTCTAGGAGAGAGAGAGAGACAGCGTGAACAGGGGAGGGTCAGAGAGAGAGGGAGCCACAGACTCTGAAACAGGTTCCAGGCTCGGAGCTGGCAGTCAGCACAGAGCCCGACGCTGGGCTCTAACCCACGAACCGCGAGATCATGACCTAAGCGAAAGTCGGATGCTTAACCGACTAAGCCACCCAGGCGCCCCAGCTCTCCAGTACGTTTTTAAAGACTCTGAGCATGCGCTCTGTCTGTTGGGTCAATCAGTCGTTTGGCTGGGACTGGATTTGAAGTCTATATCTTCTCTCATATACTTATGCCATTTCCAGAGACTGTTTTAGTGGAAGGGAAGTTTCATGAAAGAAGGATTTTTAAAAATCTCTCTTGCTTTCAGCTCTGTCTCCCAGAACTCTAAAAAGTACCTAGCACAGAGAAATATTCAGTAAATATTTGCTGACTGAATGAATGAAAGATGATTCTTACTGAACAGATGAGGAGATGAACTGCCCAGGCCACTGTGTAGTTTGTGCTCTCAAAGTTGTAAGCAGGAGAAATCAACTTGAATCAGCTTAAAGGGAAGGAGGTAGTAGAAGGGTTAGGAGAGTCTCGTCTACTCCAGGGTCTTTGGGGGGCTCAAGGCAGACACCTCTGTCTCTCTCTCCCTCCTCTTCCTTCCTCTCTGTGGTCCACTCTGCTCTCCTCAGTGCCTCTGCAAACCAGCTTCCTCTGCTCCTCACGGGGAAATGTGGCAGCCAACATCTGAGTTAACAAGCTCCAGTTCCAGCCATGGGAAACGACTCTGAATCTCTCCTGAACCTTGTGCCAAATTCCTGGGGCAGAACTCTCTTCACCATCCCGTGACCTTACAGTGTTTCAGGTCAATGAAGTGGATGAGGTTTATGAATTCATCCCAGGGGCATCTGGGTCAGTTAAGCATCAGACTCTTGATTTCAGCTTGGGTCATGATCTCACAGTTCGTGGGTTTGAACCTCATATCAGGCTCTGCACTACTAGTGCAGATTCTCTTGTGCTTGGGATTCTCTCTCTCTCTCTCTCTCTCTCTGCACCTCTCCTGCTCTCTCTCTCTCTCAAAATAAATATTTTTTTTTAATTTAAGAAAAAAAAAAAAGGAATTCATCCAAGCAGGAGAAGTCATTCCTTCCTCCATCAATTTCCCTGATGATGGTTAGATCAGACAACATGTATAATCTAGCTTGTTGTTGTGCACGGAAATACCTAGGTATTTGTTTGTTTCTTTGTTTTTCTGAAATAACCTAAGCAATTTGCTCTGGAAGTGCTCATGAAGAGTCTTTTATCTGTGGAAATGCATAATTACAGGACAAGTCCTGAGACTCTTCTCAAAGAGGTAAAAACCTGAGCCCTGAGACCAACAGTGTGAAGAGAAAGGCTCCTGTTCCCTAAATCACTGCAGGGATGAGACGGATACCCAAGGATGTGTCTGACAGAGTTGAGGGACTGAAGACTCTAAGGAGCAGATGACTAGACGAGACTCCATGACAACCCCTTGGCGGACATTCCATCCCACAGATGTAGCAATTTTTTTTTATACTGAGCTCTATTTGAAGAGCCAGTCATTCCTGTTAATGATTTAAAGATATCTTCCTTTTGATGGTGTAACTACAATGTGAAATGCTTCCTTCATACTTTCTCCAGTTCTTTGAAGTCTAAGTATGCCGAAAATAATACGTGAGAGATAAAAACAACAACAACAACAAAAAAAACGTATGAGAGATAAAGATTACAAGATTTCTCTGTAAATCTTCCATACCTTCCAAGAAGCGACACAGCAAGCATCTGAAACTTTACACGTGCCCTGTGCCTAGCCTTCTTTTTGCTTTGAGAGCACGAGCCATCCAGCCTTCAGATCTTAAGCTGTGGACAGGGAGGACCCATTTGTAAGGTAGGAAGCAATTCCTCTCACACTTGCGAGGTGCTATGTTTCCTTCCTCATTTTACGTTTTGACTGACAGATCTAACGGCTCCTCCGCCAGTGCCAGGCCCGGTGCGAGACTGTGGGCTCGGGCAGCTCCCGCTGTGTGCTGGGCTGTGCTTCTGTCTGGCCACACGGGGTCGCTGTTTTATCAGTTCTAGCCAGACGTCTGTGTGGCTCACACCTTAGTTCAACAGTGCGACAGTGGGGTCCTGGGGAACTGATGGCAGAAACAGAATTTGAACATCAAGCGAAATCTGAGTTTTAGACTTTTGTTTGTTTCTTTGGACCAGTTGGGGAAGTCTGAGGTGTTATTCTACTTACTTTTAAAGAATGAGTGTGGAAAGTAGTACAGTTAAGGAAACCATGAGATTAAAAAATCAAGCAACCGGGGTGCCTGGGTGGCTCAGTTGGTTGAATGTCCACCTCTTGGTTTTGGCTCAGATAATGATCGCAGGGTCATGGGATTGAGCCCATGCTGGGCTCTGAGCTGAGCCTGTAGCTGCTTGGGATTCTCTCTCTCTCTCTCTCTCTCCCTCCCTCTGCCCTTCTTTCCCATTCATAGAAAGATAAAAAATCAAGCAACCATTGGGGGAAGGGGAAGGAAACCATGGGGACAATGCCTAGTCTTGCTCAGCTGGGCCACTGACCTTGAGTGATGACAATGGAGTGCGGATTAGGGAAGTGGCTGCATACTGGGCATGTGTTTAGCCAAGGCTTATTCCTTGCTCCTAAGTAGTCTCCATGCTGCAAAATACTTTGCATGCTTTGCTTGAAGGGTATCATTATAGACGTGGGGAATAATATAGCTACCAATTATCTAGTGCTTACTGTATACCAGCTGCTTACATATATTACACATAATTCTCTCAGTACCTCTGTAAGCTAGGCATTATTATCCACATGTGACAGGTGGCAAAACTAAGACTCAGAGAGGCTAAGTAATATCATTTGACTCACACAGCTAATAATTGATGCTGAAACCAGAGCTCGCTCTAGTTCCTCAGTGAATTTCTGGGTAATTACAGCATCTACTCACCTGAAATAAGAGGTGCCTATTTCCTTCTAAGTCTCAAGGTGTGTACAGTAATCTTCCCCATCTAGCTAGCATAAATTTTTAATGAGAAGAGTGACTGAGGAAATTTCTTTTGATGGGAGACACAGTGGAAGGAACTTGGTGATCTCAAATCCAAAGCCAAAGGATGGGGGCACCTGGCTGGCTCAGTGGGTAGACCATGCAACTCTTGATCTTTTTTGATCTCAGGGTTGTGAGTTTGAGCCCCATGTTGGGTGCAGAGGTTATTTAAAAATATAATCTTTAGGGGCACCTGGGTGGCTCAGTTGGTTGAGCTTCCGACTTTGGCTCCGGTCGTGGGATCTCACAGTTCATCGGTGCAGGCCCCATATGCTGACAGCTAGCTCAGAGCCTGGAGCCTGTTTCAGATTCTGTCTCCCTCTCTCTCTGACCCTCCCCTGCTCATGCTGTCTCTCTCTCTCAGAAATAAATAAAACATTTAAAAAAATTTTTTAATTGAAAAGATAAAGTAAAAAAAAGGCACACAGGGCCAATGACAGAAAATCAGGCACAACATGACCAGAGTATATTGATGTACATGTTGAAGTAAAGAGAGAGCTGTATATTGTTGAACTTGGGTAGTTACAGGTCTAGGATGGTGCAACCAACTAGGCAACTCACAGTATGAATTACAGAGCTGCTTTGTGGTGGGGTCATGTACACGAGAGAACCGGCTTTCTTTTTCTTTTTTTTAAGTAAGCTCCATGTCTGACGTGGGACTTCAACTCACAACCGAGATCCAGAGTCATGTGTTGTACAGACTGAGCCAGCCAGGAGCCCAGGCTTTTTTTTTTTTTCTTTGCAAATCTTAATTTGTTCTGGCAATGTAACTAACACAGCATTAGGACTTAGGCCCTCAAGCTAGGTGAGGTATTGTGGCCCTTGAGAAAGCTCCAAGATGTCAGGAGGCAGGGAGATGGACTCTTGATGGAAAAGGTATGAGCTGCATAGGTGAAGGATGGGTAGGTTTCAGGTGTCAAGTCCAAGCGCTAAGAGAGAGAGGATGAACTGTCTCAGCCTTAATATGGAGCTTTAAAAGAAAAAATATCCTTCCTTTCAATTATTAAGGAGAGATCTGAGGGGAAGGGAGCAAGTCAAGTTGCTCATTGCTTGCCTTCTATGGACCTACAGGGTCTGCGAACAGAAGAAAGAACGGGGATGGACTGATGAGAAAGCAGGAGTGAGAAGGGGAGTCACACAGATCCCTGGTTGATGAGTCAGTTCCTGGACTTGGCCTTTATCTCCCTAGGCCAGAGCAGCAGCACTTCCCTCTGAGGAGATGGCCTGAGTTCGCAGGACTGGGCACACGAGCTTTCCGGCCTTTCCCAGGATCCTCGGTCACTGGGATTCCCTTGTGTCTCAAAAGCCTTGGAACAGTAAAGTCTCTCTCCAGGAATTTCCTTTCCAGTCAATAAGCAGCCAAGTGTCTGGTAGAATCGTCCTTTCCCCGCCAGCAGGGTAGAAATCTGGCCAGCCCTCAGGAAAGTGCCCTGGAGGCCATTCTCTACTGTGCTGCTTTCCCGAATTTACCCAAAGGAAAACTCTCTTTCCATTGCCTCTCCCAGGTATTAGGAGTCTGTTTTGAATAATAGTGGTCTTTACAATTCACGAGTGCTCTGAAAATGTCTGATGGCAAACAGACAAAACCAGGAACTGAGCTTCTGAACTTCCGTTCCCCATGTGCTCCTCCAGCTGTCCCGTCTCCACACCAGCACTTAACTCTTCATCACAGAGAAGTAATTTCTATTGCAAGAAAAGGAGACAACCTGAAATTCTTTTGAGTCACGTGACATATTCAGCCATTTGAAAGGTCCCATCTCCAAACCCAGTATAGCCTTGGTCCTTGACCAGACCAGTCAAGGTGTGGAGTCTGCGTGCCACATAACGGGGTCAGAGGCACTGTGGGGACAAAGGGCTGGACACTGAGGCAGGTGTTTTGATGCCAAGTGAGAACTTGGAGCTCTTCTCGCTCACACTTGCCAGGTGTGCCCAAGGGAGTGGCTCACCAGGGCTTTGGGGCTCAGAGCAAGAATGGGGGAGTGCTGTGGAGTGATCAGCTCTTGGGGCTCCCCGTCTTCCAGATGCTCAGAGAGAAAGGAGCCCTAATCAAAACAAGATGGGGGTTAGTGTCACGGGAGAGGAAGCTTGAAATGGACATTGAGCAGAGGACGGATTGCAGCTCGTTATTTTGAGTTCAGTCTGAAGCAATGATCTCTCTATCTGGTGTGTGGAAACAGTGAGATAAGCAGTTATGTTCCCCTTTCAGTGGTGTTGGTAAGGAGGGAGTTCATTGCTTGCTAGGCACTGGTTCCTCATTACTCACCCTCAATCTGGCTGAACGGAAAACACGGGACTCTCAAGATCCAGATGTAGACATGTTGCTGAGTGAATCTGGGGTGGAGCCTTGGCACCTGTGTGCTAAAAAAACACGTTGGGTGATTTTGCTCAGCAGCAAGGATTGGGAATTGCTGATCAGTTACCAGGTCTGACTACCCCAAGTGTTCCATGCTGTAAGTTTGGTTATTGGCAGGAACAGGTGAGCTTAGAAGTGTGACCCAAGCCCCAGGGTGTTAGAGATCTGAGGATGGGAGTCCAGAGTCAATCATCAATATCTATACACTCAAGAGTGAACTGGGAGGGGCGCCTGGGTGGCTCAAGCAGTTAAGCATCAGACTCTTGAATTTGGCTCAGGTCATGATCTCATGGTTCCTGAGTTTGAGCCCTGCTTCGGGCTCCACACTTAACAGTGCCAAGCCCACTTGGGATTCTGTGCCTCTCCCTTTCTCTGCCCCTCCAGCACATGTGCCACTCTTTCCCTCTCAAAAAATTAAATAAACTTCTTAAAAAAGAAGAATTCGTGGTGCCAGGGTGGCTCAGTCAGTTGAGTGTCCGACTTCGGCTCAGGTCATGATCTCATGGTTAGTGGGTTCGAGCCCCGCATTGGGCTCTGTGCTGATAGCTCAGAGCCTAGAGCCTGTTTCGGATTCTGTGTCTCCCTCTCTCTCTGCCCCTCCCCCACTCATGCTGTGTTTCTCTCTGTCGTAATAATAATAAACATTAAAAAAATTTTTTAAATAAATAAATAAATAAATAAAAAAGAAGAATTCTTCTCTAAATTTGACAAGCCTTAAAAAAAAAAATAAAAAGAGGGTTGCCTGGGTGGCTCAGTTGGTTAAGCATCCAACTTCAGCTCAGGTCATGATCTTGCCGTTCTTGGGTTCAAGTCCCATGTCGGGTTCTGTGCTGACAGCTCAGAGCCTGGAGCCTGTTTCAGATTCTGTGTTACCCTCTCTCTCTGCCCCTCCCCCACTCAGGCTCTGTCTCTCTCTGTCTCAAAAATAAATAAACTATAATTTAAAAAAAAGGAAAATCAAAAAAAAAAGATGAACTGGGAGGGAGACTGGTAAACTGTCCTGGAATAGAATCTCCCAAGAGACTAAGAACAGTACAGTCTGTCCCCAGATCCTCCTACATAAGGCATGTGTGAATGTAACCTCCTGAACCTGATTCTAATCTCTCCTGTGGTTACTTGGCTCCTCTAGCTTTGGAGAGGTACACAAGACCCAGCATGCACCAAGCAGTACTGCACTCAGATTGTACAAGGCTACGCGGCTTGTGTGCAGATCTGGGCAGACCTGAGTGATAAGAGCTCAAGAGGAGGCTCTGAACGGTGCGGGTTCCCACGCCAGCCAGAGCAGAGCAAAGCCAGCAATCGAACAGTGGCACACACTGGCTGGCTCTGCCCCAGAACCGACTGGAAGAAGCCAACTGGGGCTTCGTGTTCTCTAAGCAAAGTCCCCATGGAGCATCTCTGTTTCTGCTTCAGTAGTCCTGAATTTGGGTTTGGCACCAAATTAAGAACTCACCCCAGTAAAAATTTGGTTAACCTGTAAAGTCAATATGAACTTTTGATAGGCATGGAGACATGGGCTTTTAGTCCCAGGGTCAGAGACCAGAATTTTCATCAGCTCTGTTGTGGATTTGTGTAAGAACTTTGGACAAAACATCAGGCTTCCAGGCATTAGCTTGCTTATCAGCTCCTGGCCAGCTCTGCCCACCACGCAGGGGTTTTGTAAGGCTTAGCTGCCACAGGAGATGAGGAAGTAATATTGAAAATGTACACAATCCATTCTTGTGTTAGTTATTTCAGTTGTGCTGTGGACGGTTGTGAACTGACCCAATCCCCACAGGCTAGTCCCCTGTTTCTATGCTTTCTATTGCGTTTTCCCAACAAGTAGTAAAAAACACTTTTTCTGCCAAACAAACTTTTTTTTTTTTTTTGGTAACAAAAAGGACCAAGCTGGATATGAAGGGTATCTTTCTAACCAGACAGAGGCTATTTGTTACCAGGACAGGTAACTGAGAAATATAGATTTCATTCCCTAGAGAACGTTAAGAAAATAAGGTACATTTAGATGTTTGGGAGAATTTAGGAGAGTCTGGGGACAGGGAGAAAACCAGACACACTCTGGAGACTCAGTTCAGCTACTCAACTCTGTGAGTCCTGCCTCCCTGAGGGAATTAACCAACCTCTAAAAAAAACATTAGCAAGGGCACAGATCTAGTGCAGATAGTTGGCTTCCCAAGCAACTAGCTAAGTGATCTCATGCAGTTTCCCTGGCAATAAAACAGGGAGAATAATATCTTTACCTCAGATAAGATAATGGATGTGAAAACCTTTTGTGAAATACAATCCTTTGAAAGACTGAGATATTGGTATAGATACAATGAGATTGTATCGCAAAAGGAAAGAAAAAGCATGATTTTTAAAAAGTACAAAAAGCAAAAGCAAAGAAAGCATGATTTTTAAAAAGTATAGGATTATGACACGTAAGATCTTGGGACTCTCTTGATTGAGGCCAACTGCAACTGTAAGGAATCTCACCTGGATTTTTTTGGTCTTTTGTATACCCAGAAATCCACTATTCATCCCTCTGTCAACCTGGGTCTTTCTTGAGAGGGTCATTAACTGAAAAATAAGTGAACGTTTATAAAACAGAATTTCAAAACAGTGAAAATTAAAAATTAAGTAGAAATCCTATTCTTCTTCAAAAGGAAGCCATTTGTTAAATCTCCAGTGGGTTTATCATTGTGTTTCTGGGGTACAAAGACCTTAGGAAACTTCAAAAGGACCAAGAAACCTGGACTAGAAACAGAAGGAAAGTAGGGTTATCCTGGGGGCCCTCAGAAGCTGTGGATGGGGAGCCAGATGCTCAAAAGACTTCTGGAATTTACTCTGCTATCCTCAGGGTCTGGCCAGGCAGCTCATGGCTCTCTTTCTCTTCTGTGGCTTCCACCCTAGCTGTGGCAGTCACAGAGGGCTGAGAATCGGGGAAGAATCTTCTCCCCTGATGAGGGAGAAGATTCCCAGGATTTCAGGTTGGACATTGGAAGGCATTTTCTGAGGGATACATGTTTACCCAGGGTGGGGTTTGTGTTAGCCTTGTACAAGCGATGATTTCAAGGACACCGGAAATTCTCTTGGGCTTTTCTGAATAATAAAGATTACACATTCCCTTGTTTATCTAAGGGAAACGCCTCCCGATTCCAAACATTTGACTTACAAATTCCCTTTCTGAGAACAATGCCCTTTCATGAGTTGGGGACGGTCTGTACAAACAATGGCTGCTCAGCTGTCACAGTTCTCAGGACAGAGGGTAGGGTGTCACCCCTACAGAGTGGGGTATGCTTAGAAACTCCCAGTGCTTGTTAGGGATGCATAAGCATACAAGAGGTGACAGGTCCAAACCCGTCCAGAGGAACATGCCCTGTGCATGTGTAAATCACAGGTCCTAACAGTATGTCACCTAACCTTTACTCTGAGCTGGAGAATATTGGGTAACCGTGACCTCCACTGAGGTCATAGTAACACACTTTGAGATATTTTCCAGGGCAACAATGTTAAGAAAAAATTAACTCCCAAGTAGCACACTTAATCATTTTTCTTGCTTATCTTTTGTTTTTCTTATGATTTTATTTTTAAGTAATCTCTACACCCAGCGTGGGGCTCAAACCCACAACCCCAAGATCGAGAGTAGCATGTTCTACCAACTAAGGCAACCAGACACCCCTTGCCTGTCTGTCTTTTGACAATACAGGAGTAGAGAAAATGTCTGGAAATCAGAACACTGAGGCTGTCTTTGTTTTGGGGGTTTCTTTCTTTCTTTCTTTCTTTCTTTCTTTCTTGCATTTCATGTAGACAGTTTTATTTATTTGTTTCAGCTTTAAAAAAAAACACCATTGACATAAGTACTATACAAGTTTAAGGTGTACAGCATAATGGCCTGACTTATCTATATTGTAGAATAATTGCCACAGTAAGTTTAGTTAACATTCATAATCTCAGAGATACCAAAAAAAAAAAAAGAAAATGCTTTTTTCCTCATAATGAGAACATTTAGGGTCTACCCTCATAGCAACTTTCAGAGGTTCCACATAGAGCAGTGTTAATCACAGTCATCAGCTGTCATTACGTCCCCAGGGCTCATTTATAGAACCCGGGCTTCTTCCAAACCCCAATTTGTAGAGTTCTAGGCAGACATAGATTAAGATTTTGTTGGGTTTAAAGGCTATACAATGGAGGTGGGGGGAGACAATAAAAAATTATGAATACCAAATTATGAATAGCAAGAGAGACATCCTGAAACTTAAACTTCACTTTATGGAAAATCCAACTCTGGTTCTAGGGAAAGCATCGAGAAGATTCCATGGAAATCTTACAGAGCCTTAAATTATTTTTTGTAAAACATTCGTACTCCTTCATGCCTTAACTGAATTCTGGATTTTCCCTGACAATGTCTTCTAGTTGAAAAACTCACCAGGGTGGTGCCTGGCTGGCTCAGGCGTTATGCATCTGACTTCAGCTCAGGTTGTGACCTCATAGTTCGGGAGTTTCAGTCCCACATGGGGTGAACTCCAGCCCAGCTTTGGAGGAGCCCCACTTCTCTCTCGGTTTCTCTCTCTCTACCCTTCCTGGGATTCTCTCTTTCTCTTTGCCCCTCACTCAATCTCCCCACCCCTTCCCCCCAACACACACACACAAAAGAAAGAATGAAAGAAAGAAAAACTCTCTAGGGTAAAGGCTCTTTCTTCTCTCATGCCCCCAAGCTGTGGGGCCTGTGGAGGAAGAGGTGCTGCACACCCCACAATTACAGAGCTTGCCAGCAAAACCTCCAGTCAGACCTTCCCCTCTCCGCCCCTGGGGGTTCCTCTACGAAGGCAGTGGGATTGAGGCACATGGCTACCTCCTCTTCCTCCCAGCCAGTCTCCTGACAGCAAGCTGGGCCACGTCGGCAACTCACAAGCTGGCCACAGCTGTGGAACGTGTCCCCTCATTTTTGGATCATCTGGCAGCTTCAAAGCCTAGATCCCCTTTCCAGTCCCGGAGCCCCGGCCTCTCCCCTGTCTCGCCCTCAGGGCTTCCAAACGTGCCCTGTGTTCTCATAACTGCACTTCGCGGGTGTCTGCCCTCTCCCGCGCTCAGGGGCTCCTCTCCGGCCGCTGCCTCGCACATGCGCGCCCCGCCCCACCCGCGCCCTCACGGTCTGTCTTCCACCTGGTTTGGAAGCGGCCCTCGGCGGCGGGCGTGCGAGTGACAGAGATGAGCCGGCGGCCTCCGGCCTCCGAGGAAATACACTTCACTTTCCCTCCCACCGGGGGAAGAGCCTTCTCAGATCCGATTCCTGACCCCCGCGGGGTAAGAAGGGTCTTTTGCATCTGTATACAAACAGCTTTCAAGTATTTAAGGTGCTTCCCCGGGGCCTGACCTGGAATGGTTCCCTCCTCACCTTGGCCACCCGCTGTCTGATTTCTGTGGGTTCGGTTCTCCCGCTGCGGTTTGCCGAAGAGAAACCGGAGAGCCGGGCCACTCGGCCTCAGACAGACCCCTGCGGCGCCACCTCTCTGCTCCTTAGCGCTGTCCCCTCTCCCCTCTTGGGTCTTTCACCCCCCCCCCCCCCCCCCCCCCCCCCCCCCCCCCCTCCGGTGTTCTCGTCCTTTCCGCCGAAGCTGCTCCGCCCTGGCTCTGAGACTGGGGGCGTCACGAATTCCTGCCATTTCTCCACCCCCCCACCCTCCCCATCCAGAATTGTCCGTTAACTTCACTCTTCCTCCCTGGCATTCTTGCCTGTGGAGAAGACAGAATTCGACGAAGTTCCCAGGGGGGTTTTGTTCATACCTCCACGAGACCCCCCCTCCCACCTCCCCCGTCATGCGCAGTGGAGTCTGCATAGCTTGAGGCTACAGTTGGGACCTGCTAACAGCCCATGTTCCAGTGAGGGATCAGCTACTGGAAGGAGGTTTATTTAGTGATTCGTTATGTTATATATCTGTTAGATTGTATGCTTGCTGAAGACAGTACCTGGATCTGTCGGATCCAGCACCGGTTCGCCGCCGGATTGCCAGTACCCCGCACACGTGACTGACACGTGTTAAAAGTTCAGTAAGCAGGGGCGCCTTGGGTGGCTCGGTCGGTTGAGCGTCCGACTTCTGCTCAGGTCATGATCTCGAGGTTCGCGGGTTCGAGCCCTGCGTCTTGTCGGGCTCCGTGCTGGCAGCTCGGAGCCTGGAGCCTGCTTCTGATTCTGGGTCTCCCTCTTTTTCTCTCTCTCTCTCTGCCCCTCCCCTACTCAAGCTCTGTTTCTCTCTGTCTCAATAATAAGTAAACATTAAAAAAAATTTTTTTTTTTAAAAGCTCAGTAAACCTTTGTGGAAGGAAGCGAGGAAGGAAGGAAAGAAAGGAGGAGGGAAGTTGCTTAGGGGTAACTATTTCTGGGTAGGATGCAGCCATGCTAAGGGCCAGTAGAAGGTTCAAACTTCTGAGAAGCACCGTAGAAGGCAAGAAGGATGAGGGAATACACCACTCAGTTCAGAACAACTAATTATCTTTTTTTTTCAGTCTTATTTTTAATATTCAATGCTTCAATAATGGTATTTTGTGCAGCCCTTCGTATTTGGGGTAGAAGAGATATGGAAAGAGCCAAGGAAATAGCTGTAAAAACTACAAACCAGGGAAGAAAGATCTAATGAAAAAAATGAAAAGAATGTGTGTGTGTGTGTGTGTGTGTGTGTGTGTGTGTGTGTGAAACCTCCAAAGAATACACAAAAGTAAACTCGCAGTTGTGCGCTCACTTGGACGTCTGTGTTTATCTGTATAGCTTTCTCTAGGAATTGGAAGTGTACGTTTGCATTGATAACCATATTACAATTCCAGTCACACCATAAAGTTCATTGTCATTTTCTCTGGTAGTGAGAAACTGGCTCCAATGAGGAGTATTTTAAGGAGCTGAAAAGAATAAAAAAGCAAGAGGTCACCATGATCCTAGCTCCCATGTTAGCCTCCTTCTAATGCCTGCAAGGGTGTAGGTCAGACTAGGGCAGAGGCCCTTTAAGAGACCAGCTTGGCTGTGGGTACACCCCTGGATTGCAAGAAGTCCCAGAAGTGTCAGTGCTTCAGACTGATTTATGACACTCTATAAATGCACACCAGGGCAAAGTTGAGCCAAAGCCAACTGGGGCCTCTGTGATTATGTCAAACCTCCAGGGTTTACTTAGCTTAACTCTGGGGGACTTCCTGCTGTTGATCTAACCTTAGGCCCGGGATTATGAGGTGAGCTTTTGGTTAGACTGGTATCAGATTAATTTTGGTATTTAGAAAAAATGGGAAGGTAGGAGAGACAGCTTAAAAAGAAAAAGCAATAGGTGTATCATCACTTTAAAGCAGTCATAAAGATTTGATAAGGTTTACTGCATACATATTAAAATTTCCATATGGCAAAAATAGCAAAGGCAAATCAAAACACAAACAATAAACTTGGAAAATATGTGTAGTGTATATCATGAAGAAGAGCTAATTTTCATTTGTTTGTGGAAAGTACACCTGAAAGTCAGTAAGACCATCAACTCAAAAGAAAAATGGACAAAGGACCTTTAAAAAAAAATCATAAAAAGAAATACACGTGGCTTT